AACGGAGCCTTGGCCGTGCCCTTTAGTTCCCGGGGTTGGCAGGCTTTTAAAGAACTTGTTGTTAAAAGGATCTCGTTCTCAGGTGTCGGCCCTTCTTAGAGCGTCTGTAGCTCGTCGCGTATTTCAGGTCATAGGTGGTAGCGCCGAATCTTGGCCGCTGAAGAAAGACTTTTCTCGTGCATAATGGCAAAGCTGCCAGCTTTGCGCTTGGAAGACATTGAACCCATCCACACCTTAGTGCGGGAGCATTAGTTCCCTTCTTGAGCATGGAATAAAGTCATTCATTTATGACTTGAGTTTTCAGCTGTGTTTTACATCTCGGCAATGCAAAGCACAAAAGGGTTCTAGAAACAATATGGAGTGGGAGGAATTTGGGGAAAAATCCCCCACCCTGGCTGTGTAGTTAGCTGCTTTTGCAGTTCCTGGTAGTGGGGAGGTGGATAAAGTACCTGTCTCTGGTGATTCTTGGCTCATTCCTGCCACCGTGCTGTTACACCTCAGCTGTGTGTGAAGCTGCCCTGTAAACTGAAAAAATGGAAAACAACTGCTACTCTTTTGAGTTTGCTTTTCTTGGAGTTGCTGTTAGCCGGGGCAGTGCCCTGCTCTGGTTCTCTGATGGGACACCCGAGGGAGCAGCGTGGGAGCGGGAGCACAAGAAGGAAGAGGGGCTGCTTTGTGTTCGGGTGCTGAAAGAGTTATTTGTTGGACCATTGTTAGAGCCATCACAGGGCCTGACCACCGCCTGGCCCACCTCGGGCCCAGAGTGAAAGGGCTTCATTCATGTTCCCCCGCTTGCTCGCAACTTGAGCGCTGAGCATGGCTTGCTTTCCGTCGGGGCTTCCGCCCAGAGAGCTCCGTGTCACACATTCTCTTTTTAAGGTCTCTACGAATCCTTTGCAGCTGCTGTATAGCATAGTGCAATGCATTAACCTTATATAAGCTTTCTCTCTTCATACATACCCTGTATATATAGTACTACGTCACAGGCTGGCTCTCGCAGGAAACTGGAAAAACATGGAAAGAAAAAAAGCTAAGAGCGAAAGTACGAGAAACAATACAAAATGTTTTTGCTGCTTTGTGTTTGTGTGGTGAGATGCAGTAAATCAGCAAACGTGAGTGAGAGTGGGATTGATGGTCCACTAGGCAGATAGATTTGGAAGAGAGAGAATCATGTATATGGAAAGCTTTCCAGTGAATACTGTAAAAACGGCGGTGTAACATAGTTCTGTAATGGAGGAGGGTGATTTTCTATTAGGTTTATAAATGTAAATGATGTAATGATGTATATACCGTATGATAATATATTGACATAAAATAATATTTCCTAGTTTAACACATGCTGTGTAATTGTTAAAGTGTTTCTTACTACCTTGTGAGAAAGATTTTGTTTTCAGTTGTTTTGCAAAAGAAATGTAAAATCGCTCTCAAAAGTCTGGCCTTCTATAAATCTGCTTACAATCAGACCGCACAAAGTCTGAGGTGCAAATATTTAGTACTTCTGATTTTTGAAAATTTGACTTCTGGGAAAGTTCTGGCAGCCATTGGCCCTGTACCACAGCATACAGTGCTCGTCATTGATTAATTAAAAAGGAGGAAAAAGAATCCTTGTTGCAGTGAAGGAGGGCTTTTGATAGCAACCGCCATTCTCGCATCCAAGACCAGCATTGCTTTCTCATTTGGACAAGGAACATCAACAACAAGGGGCTGATGTGGTCAAGGGTGAAGACGACTGACTTACTGCTCTTCAGGAAATTCAGTGCTAAAGCTGCAGCAGGCGCAGCTGAGCCATCACAGCCAAAGAGGTACAAATCTTCCAAAAGTGACTGCAGTTGTGGTATCGGTACCGATACCACCGTCAGTATGTTTCCGTGTCAAGGTCATCTCAGAACACAGTGCCAGATTTCAGTTTCTTTCTTTGTTTTTCCTTCCTTGAAAACACCCAGGTCAAGAGAGGCCTTTCTGTGTGGACCACAAAACCGAATGCCTTCTCCTTCTGTGCAGCCGTAGCTGATCAATCCCATCTGAACCACCACTGTCATCATCATCCTTTTCCTGGCACATGGAGTACTAGCTGTGAGGAACTGGTTTCTTTTCTGTTGTCAAGTCTTGATTCCCCACCTGCTGCCTCTTGCCACATCTATCCATAGGCAACAATGGAGGAACAGATACTACATGTGCTAGATTTTCAAGTTACTTGAAATTACTTAATTCAATGCCTGTTTGTGAGGAGAGGCCTTACTGACATTTACAAGTGAATACGCTGCTGTGTGTGAAATCACCTCATCACAACTGGAAAACTAGCAAAGTGTCTCTGCTTGTTTGTTTGTTCCTAAATACTTCAGAATACAGTCCAGAAGTTGTCTTCAGTAGCAGCCTGCACATCATGCCCCTGTTCTCTATTGACAAGGCTGTCACTTTTTCCTCTGCCCATCCTGGGTGATTTTGGGGCATTCAAGAAGATTCCGTCCTGCCTCAAGTTTCTTCAGACAGAAACATAGGGCAAAAATGCCACTTTTTTTTGGTTTTGTTTCCTTCCGAGGTCTTTCCATACGTACGTGTATGAAGGAAATCTTGAGGTGACCTATGGTTTAAGGCAACTTCATCTGTGCTGTGTGTTGAAGTAGGTTAGGAAGGGAAAATAGTTGGTGCACCAGAATGCCATGTAAGAAGTCATTTGAAAGAGATGAGGGAAGAATCCTGTGCTTCTGATGTTTGGACCAATCCCTAAAAGTTGTCTGCTGTTTCTGTCCGACTGAATAAATTACCTGATAACTGTGAGTGAAATTGTCAAATGAGTTTTCATTGAATCGTCTTTTGGCCGATACTTTTTTTTTTCCCTAAACACCTTTTGGGGGGAATATTTTGTTCCATACTTGACTCCTGTGTATTGCTTTTTATTTTATAGAATAGACTGATGTATTAATTCCATGTAATTTTTAATGTATCTCCTTTCTTATGCTGCATCTTCACGGACTTTTCTTTCTTTGTATTTTTTCTGCCTCATCCTCCTATATTTTCTGTTCTCTTCTGTGTTATTTTGCCAAGGTTTCCTTTCTGTTCCCTCTGCTCATCCCATCTGTTCTCTGTCTCTTTCTCTCACGCATATATTGACATCAAGAGATGTCAGTGGTATGCATGCCTACACCACACGTCTGCATTTTAGATTTTGACTACCCCAAAATGGAAAGTATTTTTCTACTTGCTTTCAAAATCTCTTCAGTTTCCTACTTACCTCATGTATTACGAGGCAATAGCAACATTAATATTTACTGGATTAAATGTAACTTTGGTTATTAGGAAAGTAATTGTAAGAGACTAATTTAATTTGTTATTAGAAGATAGTCTGGTTTAATGAATGTCCACACCTGTTCGTGATAGCGGAAAACTCAGGGCTCTGAAAGAGTCACACTTGGAGCATCCATGGGCACGTTAACGTGTTGTCGTCTGCCCTCGTGGCTGATGCCCAGGCATCCTTCTGAGCGCCTCTGCGCAGCCTGCGTAGCTGCCTGGCCTGGCAGGACCCTCGCCTCCTGCCTAAGCACGTGAACGTTCATTACTTTTTTTTCTTCAAGCTTTGGAGGGCAAATTTCAGTCATCTCTACAAGCTGAGCAGCAAGCTATTTATCTGCCTGGACTACAAGTGTGGTTCTGCAGGATGCTTATGCAGAGACATGCGTGTAGTCTGAGACCCAGCTTTTGCTGTGGAATGGCCCAGTGTTGTGCAGTTTTAGCCTGAAATAGGTGGCAAATTTAAAAGGTAACTAATTTTTTTTAGTTTGTTTCTGAATGAAAAAATACAATTTTTAAATGTTACTTTTGTCTCAGGCAATGATTTTTCTGTGCACACTGTTTTTAATGGGCAGGAGGACTTTATATCAACCAGTATAATCGATTAACTGAATTTGCAGAAATCCAGATGCAGTTCTGTGAAAGCTATGCTACCAACCCTTTAAAAAGGAGGGCGAGGGAAGGAGCGAGGTGTGATTTGGACCATCTCAAGTGATCTATGTTGTGTGCTATTTTGATGAGAGTATGAATTCTGAGAAAGCAGTGAGAAACAGGAAGTATTTATGGGAATAGTACAGCTCTTGTGGGAATAGTACAGCTCTTGTAGCATTCAGATTACAAGCGTTGAGTTATTCACTGAATAAAGTTGGATGAGATGTTGTCTTCAAGCATAATTTAGCTGCTCCCTCCAACGGATACTAATTTGAAAAGACTGACTAGTATGGTGACTTAATTGCTTTTAGCATGATTTACATTTCTTAACTTTTGAGTTGTCACCATTTTTCTAAACTGGTAATACGGTAGCAACTTGTTTTTCAACTGGATAACGTATTATTTCTTTGAAAAGAAGTAAAAATGCAGGCATCACGTGGTCAGTTTTGTGGATTTAATTTCTCTGCGTATTTGTCATACCATAGCAGAGGGAAGCTGTATGAGGTGCTGGCATTGAGGGCAAGACATGTGATGCCCTTGGAAAATTTCAGAAGGAAAAATGTACGCTATTGCTTTTCTATTAAGAGAATGCTCCAACTGATGTCAGATGGAACAGGTTCACAAAATGATTCTTCTGCAAGGAAGGTGGTGGGAGGTGAGTCTACAAATGAGAACAGTAGCTCTCAGTCCTGTAATGTTTGTTGTGTGGAGAACAGAAGTATAAATGCGCAAGAATGTAGGCTTCTAAATCAGCATGACTGAGACTGTCTCAAGTTGAGCTGCACAATATTTCTTTAAAGTTTTGTAGTCTAAATTAAGAGCTTTTAATTGAAGCATTTTTGGTGAACCTGATTCCTGAAGACTCTGTTGTGTCTAAGGACAACTGTCTGAACAGTTGCAGTTAAAATCCCTTAAAATAGCAGTTAAAATCCCTAAAAAAAGCAGATATATTTTCTAAATAGGAATAGATTCTGCAGCTTTCTGTCTCTAGCTTTTAAAATTTTGCTATTAATGTAGTGTTGGGTGGTTTTTTTACTGTGCGTGTGCTCCCAGAAATCTCCTCATTATACATACCGTAATCACGTAAACTGGCCATTTGCTCGAAAGAACTTATATAATCTATCTTTCTGTACTATTTCTCTGTTAAAATGATTTTTGAGACCCTGAATTATCCCTTTCTGAGCATCCTTCAGTTCGTCAGTCTTCTCTTTAAAATGAGAACCTTAGGACAAGACATTGAAACATATTCTCATGAATGATATAAATAATATTATTTCTGCTTGAAATTCTTGTTCTCCCCTATTGTGTGGTTATGTATGTTCTCCCGACAACGTTCTCATTGTCGGGTCACTCTCAGCTGGTGAACGTGTGAGGTTTTGGGGGGTGGCGGTTAGTTTTTTTGGTTTACTGTGTCATTACTTCTGACAGAAAGAACTAGAAAGAGTGATCTTGTGGTTAAGGTGCTAAATTACACGTGGGGTGAATGAGATTCATGTTCCTGCTCTCTTAGTCTTTCCCTTTATTATCTGAACTAATATCTTTGTGTCATCTCTGCATGCACAAAGGTAAGATGATATGCCTCTTCCCCCCACCCAGGCCAGCGCTGAAGCAAGCTGTGCATAAAACACAATTTCTTTCTCGGGGAAGTTCTTCTAAGTACCAGGTTCTGTAATCTGTTTTTACAATTTACCAGGACTTTTCTGTCTTGTGTCAATTTTTTGTCTTGTGTCTGAAATGACATAGAACTTGCCATGTACTTTTATATATTTACATTTCCAGAAAAATGGTTTTAATTTTCACTCATAACTGTGTAGTGTCATTAAATGAACTTTTATGTACTGAAGAAAGATGAAATATACTGTCTTAAAATAGCAGCAAATTTGAGATTTCTCAGAATATCTTGCCAATTGCATAAATACTTATTGCAGAAATTGTTAATCTTTCCTGACTGCAGTACGTCTCCAGAAGCATCATCTTTGGGAGGAGCTTAGAAATACAAAGAAATTAACCATCTTGGATGTCTGATGTGAATTTTTAAGTAGCGATACAGCCAGATGTCTGTTCAGTTACAAGCATAGCTTTAGCTTTCTAAGCAAAGCACAGAGAAGGCACCTTGTTTTGCACATTTATTATTTCTCATTGTCCTCTGTTTCATGCAGAAATTTGGTCAAATTTTCAGTGATAAACAGCCAACATAACAGTGGAAGAACTAATTATTGTTGACTCTGTTTCCAGAAAACAGTAAACTCTTCAGTTTAATTGCTAAATTGTAATTACTCTCTCCCTTCCTTTTGAAAATGAAGTTACAGAGTTAATAACTATGAGGACTCCAGTCGTCTGTTTCTGCACTTAGCTTTGTATGGCAAATACAGCTGTAATACCAGTTTCCTCAGCTAAACGCTTTTTAATCCTGACATAGTCTTGTGGATGCTGTGGTAGTTACTCTAATCTAATGACCTCTGGAAATGGTCAGTAAGGTGTGGGTATCGGTGGTTTGTCCACTGAAATCCAAGTGGACTGGAAGGAATAAACTTCTTTCTGCTAGGTTTTTTTGTTGGAGAGTAACAAATGGCTATGCAGGGGTTTTGGGGGTAGCCCAGTACGGTTTGGATTTAGGCTGATGACATGAAGATGAAAGGCTTCCCTTCTGCGGTTATGTTGAGCCTCTTGCGCTGGCTTTTGGTCTGGAGGCTTAATGGTTTGCTTTAGAGGAACTGTCTTATATTGGTGGTGATAGAGGTAGTTTGAATATCGGAATGTGTAACTATAGTTAGATGTGCTGCCAGTCTGTCTCGGATACACTTGTCTTTAAATGGACAGGATACTGACAGTTTTCAGTCTTTCTCAGCCCTTTTTAATTTCCATGTGGTAGAATACCTTGAGAAATTTCTTCTTCAGACAAACTTTGAATGAACTTTTTTTTTCATAGCCCTAAGATGCCATATTTTCTCTTTAAATTGTTCACTTGGCCTATGTATTTTTCCTCATTATATTAGTCTAAAATGGAGTTATCTCATTATAATAGTCTAAAATGAGAGTTAGTGCAGTCTGTAGTCCCACACAAGAAGTCACGTGCAAAACAAGAAGAGGATGAGTATTTGCTGTGAGGAATGTCCATGTCCTTCTACCTGCTAGAATTCTGAAACTTGCTATGCATACCTGCTATAAAAGGTGGCATTTTTATGGGCTTGTAAGTATTAAACAAAAATTTTCCTACTGTTAGCTACATACATGTTCCCAGGAACCAGTAATGGCATGTGGATCGGAAACATAAGAGAAAGAATAGCATGGACCTGTCACTGTTTATACTTTTGATATGGAATGTTTGTTTAAAAATACAGTTCCTTTGTACGAACCAAGATACTTCTGTTTAATCTTATGCATTTTTAGTATGCTCATTGCCTCGATGTCATGATGCTAGATTGCTAGCTGACGTTTGAAGAGGAATGTGCACCTCTAGACATTTCTAATAATATATATAATATTATCTCTTAGAGTTCTGGTGTGTACATAATGTATTATTTTCCATAAATAACAGTTTCAATTCCAGCTACTCAGATGAGTTCTGATTGATAACATACACCTTTCTGTCATTATGGTCTCTATTTTGAATTCTGCCTATTAAATTGTTTTTAATTTTTTTTCTTCATTTCTAAGAGCAAACCAACTGTGATCTATTTTTCTGTCTACAGTTTTCAGTTTACGTTTTCCGTTGGACTTGTCTGCTTTCTTTTGTTCATGTTTCACGGTGGGTTTTTTGTTGGTGGTTTTTTTTGTTTTTTTTTTTTTCCCCCAAATGTGGACTTCACTTTGAGCCTGCAAATAGTTCTGTAAAATGAATTTGAATGTTTTCCCAAATCATGGAATAAAGTTGATTTGACAGATCTGATTTTTTTCAGACTTTTGCTTTTCTTGGTTTCATATAAATCATAAGGAATGAGTTCTAGTTTACTAGTAGAGTTCCTTTGTTGCCATTGCTAATTGCTTTGCAACTCACTTCACTAACATATTTTTAAATGATTTTTCTGTAGCAAAATGATGGCTATCGAACTTTATCCTTGTCCGGGCATGTTGGTTTTGGTAGTTTACCTGATCAACTGGTTAAAAAATCCATCAAGCAGGGCTTCTGCTTCAACATTCTTTGCATTGGTGAGTAGTATCTGGGTGGTTTAAGGCTTTAGTAGTATACCCGTCTTTAGGAAGTGACTGAAATTTACATCCTGTTGCAGTGTTAAACTACTTCTTTAACGTTAAGCATGAACTGTCATTCCACCCCTTCCCCTAGCTTTGCTTATTTGTATCCATCCTTTGTTTTTATATTTAGCATTTTCATAAACAATATGAAGACCAAAAATGTTGAAAATGGATGCCATGCATTTATTGATTTATGGGCAGCCTCTTGGATTCTTTTGAGTAAACTGGGCTACACTCCATTTTTACTGCAACTAAGAGCTTCAGATCAAAAAATCCTGAAATGCCAAGGTGGTGCTGCTGAAGTATTTCTATACTTATCAAATGTCTGCTCTGTTTTTTTACCCTTATTCATAAAAAGCCTGTGTGGAACCCCATGGTTTCACAGCTAGTTACTTAGCTTTTTAAAATCTGTAGGAAATCAGTTCGCGCTTTTAAAGAAACCAAAGTGTCAAGAGACTGTTCTGCTTATTACTCATTAGCAGGTAACTCTCTCTTACCTGTGGATGAAAAAAATATCTAAAGGATATTTTTAGTGCTCATTATGGAAACTGAATGCAGGCAACCATTTTGCTCAGAGAAATCAGTTGACAAGTTTTTGTGTAAATTTGTCGAGTTGCTGTGATAACACTTTCTATGCTTAGCAGGTATTTATTTGATGTGCAAAATGTCTTTTCCAACCCTTCTGTTTAACTTTAGGGGAAACTGGAAGTGGGAAATCAACCTTGATAAACAGTTTGTTTAACACCAGTTTTGATGACCCTGTGTCAACGCATTTTCTGCCAAATGTACGACTTAGAGCCCAGACTTACGAACTCCAGGAAAGTAATGTTCTTTTGAAGCTGACCATTGTAAATACAGTGGGATTTGGTGACCAGATAAACAAAGAAGATAGGTAAGTGCCCTCTTGTTGCTTATGGTATGCAGAAGTTTTGGTCTTCAATTGCAAGTTGATTTTTCTTTGGGCTTTGTAGTGAATATTTGTCTTACATATGTTCCAAATGTTTGGTTAACTGTTTTCTCTGTGTAGCAAAGTAAACATGTTTTTCTTCTCGCCTAGGAAATGATTTGAGAAATCAGATTAAGTCTGCACCTTTGTTTATGATACAGTTTTTTATGTAAATAAAATGTGCAGTAGTGACTAGAGTTTCTTTTGGGGTGGAGGAAAGCAGGGAGAAGGTCAACGGGAGACTTTTTAAACAACCAAACAGGTTATAAGGTACTGTAAATTATATAGATTAGATCTATAGGGTTTTTAACAATTTGATTGGAACATATTGAAGACCTTAAACTGGAAGGAACATCGTGTGGATTACTGAAGGCCTTTGTTTTTTATGTTGGACAGCGTAATCAGAAGACACAGAGGTGCAACTCTAGTGTCTTTCAGAACTTCTTTTGAGTCTCTGCTTTTATGAATTGAAGATTTAAAAATATTGAACTGTCTCTCAGCAGATTTTGTTTCTTCCACCTTAATTGTAAAGAATTTTAGCAATCCTTTGTGCTGTATGAGTGCCTAACTGGTGGTAATTATAAATGAAGGTTAGAGAGTCACATTAAGTTTATTATGAGAGCTATGGCTTATGGTACGACTGGAAAATAGCTACTGCTAGTGACTTAGATGAATGAGGTGCAAATAGATACTAGAGGTTTTGATGTGTGGTATAGGAGCTGCCTTTTGGTCCTTCTTTTAATTTTGTGTGTAACAGCTACTTCTGAATTTTAATAGCATTTGTTCTGGCTTATAAACTTTGTGTAGCAGCAGAAATGTAAGGTTCTTTCATTCAGAAATGTAACACGCTGCTTGTACATCTAGTAACACTTGCTTTTAGAAAGCACATTATAATCTGTTTTTAAGTAGGATGAAGTATACTTAAACTGTACTTACTGCAAATCAGATTTACATTCTTCTCTTACATTCCTCCTTTTCAATTTTTGTCTGTTGTTTAAGAGCTCTCTCATGTACAGTACTTCATCTTCAGAAGATAAAGGAGGTCCTATTTCTTGGTCCTGGTAATTGCATGTTCTTTCTTTTCTTGTATTGTATCTAAAGTTTCTTCTATCTTCCTGGTACCTGAGAGTTCTGCAGTTGCACAGCTTGATTGCAAAATTTTATAAAGCATCACTTGGGAAGATCGGTTATAATCATAACTAATTTTATGTAGCTTTTTTCACTAATAGTAGCTAGGAAATGTTTTCTCTGTATTAGGTGCACAATTCTTTTTTGAGTAGCCTTTCAGAAATTAAGATTACTCTGTACCTTTAATTTTCTGCTGTACTGAGTAGATGCTTGAGCAGCCTTTTGACATGTAAAGCAAAAATCCACAAAACAATACAAGAGGAATTCCTTTCTTAGTCTGGCTCTGTTTAGGAGTAGCTAATCTCTGGTTGTTAAATTTTATTTCTTACAGCTATCAGCCAATAGTGGATTATGTAGATGCACAATTTGAAGCCTATCTCCAGGAGGAACTGAAAATTAAACGTTCTTTGTTTAGCTACCATGACACTCGCATCCATGTCTGCCTCTATTTCATTTCACCTACAGGCCATTCCCTAAAAACCCTAGATTTGTTAACCATGAAAAGCCTAGACAGCAAGGTAAGACTTTGAAACAGAGTTCTAAGAATTTGACTTCTTTTCTGAAGCATCTTGCAGCTTTTCGATCCTCTACCACCTTTCAGTTCTATATCCATGTGTTTGGTTTGGGGATTGGGTTTTTTTGGTACTGTTATACCTTAAGTTCAGAATAAATCGGTTCCACAAGTAGGTTGCAGTTCATCATCTGTTTATTTGCAAATCAAAAGGAGAGAGAGAGACATCCAGCAAGAAGGTTGAAAAAAGATGCACAATGAGGCTTAAAAAAGAAAGTTAAAAAAAAATGAGAACCACACCAACTTTACTTTTAACAAACCTGTAGTGCTGTAATATTGCTCATTAAGCTTGTTCTAGTTCACTATCGAGTTTTGGGACTGCTGGAGAGTTGGCATGTAAAAAGTTTTGCAGCAGTGTGAAGATCTTTGTTACAGATAACTGAAGAGGCAAGTGCCATGAACAGAACACCCTGCCTACAGGGATTTTTCTAAGATAGGCTGCATTAGTGTTTTAAACTTCGTGTCTTGATTTGTTTTGAAAGCTTTAAACAGTTTCTAGTGTGATTCCTTGCACCTTCTAAATTCTTAACTTTCTTCCTGTAATAGGGCTGTGTGAACTGGGTGATGCTTAATGTTCAACCCATTTTAAGAAACTTTACATCATTTGGGTTTAATTTGTTGAAATTCTGAGAAATTTGAAAACTTAAATGCATTTGCTGTTCCTCTAGCCTTTTCCTTTGTGCTTTACTAGAGCTTCTCCTGCTAAATTTTCTTTCTGTATTTTGTTGTTTGTGGGATTTTTCTTCAAGATAACAAGGATCAAATCAGCTGTCTATTCCACATTTGTAATGTATAAGCACATTTGGTATTTTTGTAATTTTGTTTGTGGATGTATTTTGCATTCTGAACTTTCTCAATAGCACAGAGCAAGTGGGGGGCAGTATGGTGGGCCAAAGGTAGGGGAGGGCAGGGTCACTTCTTTCTGCTGTGGTGTTGGTTTATGCCAGATTAAAATGTTTGTGAAACTACTCTGTAATACGCACCGAGAGCTGAAGAGCCTTGATACTAGAAAATGGGACTGTTTCATGGAGCATATTGTTCTGCTCTGAGTTTTGAAGTTGGATGTTGTGTTAAACCACAAAAATACTTGGTTTCTAGGTTGTGCCCTCTCTTTACTGAACCCCCTTTAAAACAGTGTTTCTTCCAAAAGAAAAGGAAATAGATCAAGGAGTCCCAGCATCCTGAGAAAATATTTTTCCATCAGGATAAAACAAAAGTAATTCTGCTTTGGGGGATTTTAACTTCTGGCCACTTACTCTAAATATTTTTGGTTCTGCTTTGGCTCGGAGAGAACATGAAGGGCATGTAACTTTGTTGTTTTATCCCTTTGCAATGGATTCTACTTTCTGATCTTACTACAGAAATATATGTAAATGCAAAAAAAAGAAAAAGTATATACTTAAACTGTAGTTTGGTTTCCATCTCATTATGGAACATGTTTGCGATGTTTTCAGTACTGCATGCTCCTTGTGGCAATTCAGAACTCGGGATTTCCCAGGATGTGGAAGTCCCTGGGTGCATTCACCGAGTACAGGATTCCATAGAGAGAAGGTGGTACAGCAGCATGCATACATTGGGTGTATAAATCTATGTCAAAAGTTGTCTTCAGTTTCTTCCTAAATACACCACAGTGTACATTGTTATGCTTATGTTACAAAACAAGACCAGATTACACAGCTCAGAGGTAAAGAGGATTCTTGGAATAGGATAGGGTCATCCTATACTCTCTTTATAATCCTCGGATACAAAAAACAGATGTACCTGTGGGCAATTCATTTTTCACTATTGCTTATAAATTGGATGACTAGCTAAGAATTTGGCATCTAGCTTTTAGACATTGGAAAGTCCTGTAGTTTTGCTTGACAGACCAGTCAGGTTTCATTCACAGATTAAGGGAATCTTCTTCATGCTTTCTTCCTGGGAACTAGTGATTATTCAACTAATACATCTGCATTTTTAACTAATTCTTGCAGAATTATATACAGATTACTGTTGAGTCAGGAAATGACTTGAGTGTACCTTGCAGGGTTTGAGTTTGGTTGGGTTGTTTTTTTTTTCCTTTGAAAAGAATCTTTGGAAATTTTTGTATTGATTGATAGAGATACATTTAAATCAGCCTGCAACATATCAACCAGTAATAATTTCAAGTATATGTATTTTTTTTTCTGTCTCTATAGCATAAAGGGGCAACAGACGTTTTGACATTAATGTAAGGTGTTACATGAAAATTTTAGTTTACAGTAATAGCATGTTTTCTAACTGGGGGGGGAGTAACACTTTGCGTTTCAGGCAGAAGGATGATCAGAGGGCTGAATTTGGTGCTAGGAAACAGAGAAGTAATGTGCATGGATAAAGTTTATCCTGCTAGTTTTACATGGTCATTCTGCATTGCTATTGAATGAGGCAGTCTAAGCAGCTTCTTCCCATTGTGCATGCTTAAGTGTTTCAGGCAGCCAGTTCCCTGGATGAGGGAACTGATTCAAATTGACAGCTAAATATTTTTGCTTGGTTAGGGAGCTGATCAAGCTGAAAAGTAATCTCTCTCCTTGCACAGCTGCACAGATTTTAGTTCTACCTGGAAATGAGCAGCTGCAGGCAAGGGGAAGGGCAGGACAGTTCGTTTTATTGCAAGTGTAGACTTTTTGTGTGGGGTTAAAGTGATTCTGTATTAATGGCCTACAGCTTTGTAGCCAAATTCAGTTTTGTAGTTGTTGAGAGTTGTAGCTGGAGAAGAGGCTGTAAGGGAGTCGGTTTCTGAGTGAGTAGAAGGCACAGGAGGGAGCCATGGGACTTGGGACACAGCTATATGTGGTTCAAGTCATAGAATCATACAATCGTTTAGGTTGGAAAAGACCTTTAAGATCATCCAGTCCAACCATTAACCTAACACTACCAAGTCCACCACTAAACCAATTAAGGGTAGAGTAATAATTTCATGTTTTCTGGCTTGATGGCTGGATTATTTTTTAATGAAAGTAAAAACTAGGAATCATTAAGGTTGGAAAGGATCTCTAAGATCATCAATACGATGTAAGTCTCTTGTTAGTACAAATGTGTTATTCTTGGATGAAAGTACTGAGATACCAGTTTTCCAGTAAACCTTAGGTGCTGCAAGCAGAAATTAATTTTGTGTAACAGATTAAGCAAAGATAACTTTCGGTTTTTTCCTTGCTTATCTAAAGCCACAGTAGTATTGCTTTTAAATTTTAATACCATGTTGATAGCTGTAACTATGGTTTCTGGCGATTTTGCTTTTCTTTTGTTACTGGTCTCTTCAGTAGTCTTTCTCTGCTATTCACTATCTAAGAAATTCTCTCCTAATCAACAAGTGCTTGAAAAACTTTTATGTTGAAAAGACAGAGTAAAGGTTAATTTAATTCTGAGGACTCTGTTCCATCCATTTCTAAAGCTATAGGATAGAAAACCTAAACTGATGTCCCTCAGCTAATTTGATTGAAGCTGTGAATTACTCCTAGCTGTAATAGATTGTTTATACAATCCTAAATTAACTCAGTTATTAAATATCCTAGCATTTTATTTGATTTTAGGTATTTTATCCCATATGTGCTTAGGTTGCATATGCTACACAATTAAGGACTATCATTAGGTGATCTCAGAAGTCATACTTTGGAGTTGGTATGCTTTTTTTTCATTTGGACATTTTGCTTAAGACAAAAGACTTATTTAAAAAATATCCATTTTGAATCTGTTCTCGAGATTCCATGCTTAGGCATTTCCATTCAGACAGAATATTCAGAAGAATAAAAAGAATGTGTGTGTGGTTTTCTTTTTTTTTTTTCCCCCTCCTTCCTTTTTGCATCTTTGATTGAGGAAGTTGGTAAAACTCTCGTCTTCTGAAATCTGAAGAATAGTTTTTATTTTTCTTCCAGAATATTTGGACGTTGCCGTTAATTCTTTTTATCTAGCTCTGAAAAATGCATATTTTGGGAGTGGTGATAGTATTTTTAAGAAAAAATTGGCATCTACTACCTTCCTAAGTTACTGTCATAACTATTTTAGGAAATAGGGCAGTTTACCTTAGTAGAACTGAATTTCGAGTTCTGAGTAATTAGTGTAAAGACTGGTAAGCAAGATTCTTCAATCTTCATCATTCCTCTGCTCACAGCAGATCCTTGAGAAACTGCTGCAGTAGTGAGGTGAACAGGATGATGTTGTAGCTGAAAGGAGCCTAAGGAAGAAGCTCAGGGGTAGGCAGGGTTTGGTAGCCAGCTTCCTTCTCTTTGTGTATTTAAACGGTCAACTTTCATTTCACACCTGAACCATGTCCCCTGGTGCTATAAACTAAAACAATCTATTTTTTTAGCACAGATATAAATACTTAATGTCATTTAGTTAATAAGTAGGTGATGCTGTTCTTTTGAGTACTTCACTGTATGAGATCTCCTTCCTTGTTCTTTTCTCAGAATCAATATTAAGGGAGTATATTAAGTAATCTGTTGTTATTTTGTTAAATGATGTCAGTGAATGTATTTTTCATGGTTTGTGAAGCTTTGGTATCAATTGATGGAAAAGTTTGGACTGTGGGGGAAGTTTTAAAGAGCTTATCACCAAACAATTTAATTTCTAGAAGATGTCACCTCAAAATTGAAGTCTTACACATTGCATATAATTTGTATCATTAATAGGTGAACATTATACCAATTATAGGCAAAGCAGACAGCATTTCTAAAACCGAATTACAGAAGTTCAAGAACAAAATCATGAGTGAATTAGTTAGTAATGGCGTCCACATATACCAGTTTCCAACTGATGATGAAACCGTTTCTAAAATTAATACCATCATGAATGTAAGTAAATGATAAAAACATTAACATTTCAGTACTAAATCATCACTCTCTAATTTCCAATTCATGTCTGTTCTTTCACCATTATCTTGAGGCTTATGGGTTTGTATGTAACAAGTTTGTTTATTTTTCTCTCTCCTTAAAAAGCTCGTATGTTTTTGGGTTTTCTCCCCTACTCACAAATCTCCCTGTCCCTCTGCTGTTGATACCACTTGTTTAGGAGGCTTTTTCTTTTCTGGATCAGCAACAGAAAAAAGATTCTCACTCATAAACACTTTTTCCAATTTCTGGATAATTAATTTGTAATTACTAACATAGGTGGATAGATTGGCTTTCTTCTTTTCCTCAGCAGATACTACCTTACATCTGTTAGGGAAGATAATCAAGTGCCTTGTTTCTCCAATTTTCTCTGGTCTTTATGATAGCAAGTCTTCCATCTGCTGTTTCCTTTTATTTAGTACTTTCATTTGGAATTAGGACAGATTTTCTCTGGGGATTAAAAAGTCAGATATAATTCGGGCTTTTTTACTATTGTCCTTTCAGATCCTCCCAGGAGTATCTGTCAACTTCAACTAAGCTTGTGAAGCTAGATGTCTTTGCTTTGAGCACTCTGTATTTGCTGTTCATGTGCCTATGTTTGTAGATGCACGTGAATGTACGTTTGTATGTACTGGGGTTTGAAAGTAGGGAAGAGGAGCCGGTATGCCAGAGTGTATGGCTCTGCAGTCCCAACCTCTGTCACTTGTGCCAGGGAGTGAGGATGTGCAGGCTGCTGTTCAGTAACGGGTCCTTCTGCTGTGGGGAAAGGTGGTGGTCTGGTACTTTCCCCTTTCATGCTCTGCTAGTGAATTATTTTCCAGTTAATGATATTTTCCTTTGATTTGGTCATTTGTTGTGGGCCAGCACGCAGAAAGTCAGTACCCAGCCTGTATTTCTGGCCATTTGGCTTGAGCCCACAGCAGTAACCATACCTTGGTTTCAAACCTGTGATTGTCTCATGACTGCTCCTGGGGGTATGAACTCAGGCTGAATGTGAGTCAGAGGGATGTGTTGTAAAGCAGCTTTCTGTTTACTGCCGATACTTTTCCTAATGCAGCTCAGGATGTAGTCAGCTGCCTTTGCCGCTGGCGCAAACCTGCTGAATCAGGTCCAACCTGTTGTCCACCTGGAACCCCATGTCTTTTTCTGCAGCGTGCCTTTCCAGACGGACGGCCCTCAGCATGCGCTGGAGCATGGGGTTACTCCTCCTGATGTGTAGGACTTAGCATTGCTCTCGTTTGAACTTCATGAGATTCCTGTTGGCCCATTTCTCCAGCCTGTCGAGGTTCCTCTGAATAGGCAGCACACCCATCTGGTCTATCAACCACTCCTCCTGGTTTTGTTATTGTAGCTTGACTTTTGTATCAGTAGTTTTGACTAGCTACTGATCTCTTCAAAGTGGTTTTTGGTTTGAAGCTGCCTGCAGGCTTTTCCTGAAATGGTGTTTTTTCCACGTAATTTATTTCTGAAGCGTTTGCTTTTCATTTCTGACATAAGAATGCTGAAAGATAAGACTATATTGGTGTGACTCTTACAGGGTCATTTGCCGTTTGCCGTAGTAGGAAGTACAGAAGAGGTGAGAATTGGAAACAAAATGGTGAGAGCTCGTCAGTACCCCTGGGGCATTGTACAAGGTAAATGAATTCTGAAAGGTATTTTTATGAGATTTTTGTTGTTGTTGTTGAAGTATAAAATTCACCAATACTAAAAGAGGCTGTAGTATCCACTGATGCCATATTGATTGTATTTTGCATCAACCGTTTAAGGAGTTTAGCAATTAATACTTGAGGTATGCACTAACATGATTTCATCAGCACTGATGCATCCCTGAAATCAAGCTATGAGATGGTGTATGTAATATTTGGGTAGGTTAGTATGATGGCAGTGCCTCTAGCACTACCAAATTTCAAAGTTTTATGATTGTCAGTAAAGAATAGGGGAAAAAAGAGAGAAATTTGTTGTTCAACTTGAACAGGAAATCAGGAGGTGTTGGAACATGTTCACCAGTACTTACAGTTAGTGCTTCAATGTGTATATTAGAAATTATAAGGAAGTATAAGAGGTATAATAAGCGACAAGATACCTTTTCTTGGAAATATAATTAGTAAACAAAATAAATGAATCTCAACGCTGTTTATGTTTTGACAATTTTGCTACTTGTGCATAATAATAAAATCTTCCTCTTTTTAACTGATTAGTGGAAAATGAGAACCACTGTGACTTTGTAAAGCTTCGTGAGATGCTTATTTGCACAAATATGGAAGACTTAAGAGAGCAGACTCATGCACGACATTATGAGTTGTACAGACGCTGCAGACTGGAAGAGATGGGCTTCAGAGACATTGGCCCTGAGAACAAACCAGTCAGGTAAAGGACTTCATGTCCAGCACTTGCTTTCAGCATCCATTCACTTCACAGTTGACTGTATCAACACAATACAGAGCAGGGTTCATACATAGAATAGGTTTTCAAAGAGGGAAAGAATAGGGTTTCTTTTAATCCGAGTAAGCTGTTCATTCAGTTGCCTTCATGGAGAAGTATATGGGATTATATGAGCATTGCTTTAAAGGCATACAAGTTAGTTGTATTTCTGAAATATTTCTCTTTTAGAATAAACCTGGGGGTTTAAATTTTTGTCTTGGAGAATGTCAGTTTTCTTCAGGTACATGCACTTTATGCCTTTTAAATTATTTTCATTCTATATTAGCATGCTGGTTTACTTTCTCTCTTAATAATGTCTGATTCTGAACAATGATTTGGTTGGACTCAAAGTTCAGAAGGAACTGAAGTAAAAACTTTTACAGATCATTGGTTACACTGTTGGCTTCCCACATTATCTGCCATAATAACCAATGTCTAGCCATTTCAGGTCAAGAAATCTCTTGCTAGACTGTAGGAAGTTAATAGAGGGTTCCAAAGGAAAGTTAAGCAAAGGGTTAGAGGCACTCAGTTGTTTCATATAGTAAAACTGCTTTCTGCAGGAGGTATTTACAATTTCTATAACCAGTTTGTGTAATCTTTTGTTTCCAATTCTGTCATCTCCCTCTCCCTCTTCCAACTTCCTTTGGTCGTTTTATGCATCGGACTGTATTTTGTCAGTGGTTAGAATCCTGATGGGGAAGAACTGATGCTTCAGAAGTTGTTCAAGCCTTCATGGTTTAGCAAGGCGCTATTGTTGCATAGTCGTGGTGGGAAATACCAACTTAAACCAGACATGACAACAAAATACGACTTTGCATTAAAAACTGTTTCTAGTGCTTTGAACAAACTACTTTGTTTACTTCTTGTTTTATTTAGTGATCAGACTGTCTTTACCCATTCTGTTCTGGTAAAAATAAATTACTTTTAAATGGCTTCTGTCCAAATAGTTGTTTTTAGTGACTTGAATCCTTTGCTTTTACCTGTACTTTGCACAGAAGTTGTAAGGCAGTTGCAGTTACTGTAACTCGTAGCGTGTTGATGGAGCAGCATTGCTTTCACTTTGACTAGGTCTAATTTAGATATTGTTCAAACAGTAATAATTAAATAAGATTAATGTGGCCAAGGAAGATGCTGGATGTGGGCACTTCTTTCTGAAGTCTTAACGTCAAGGCACATTTAAAGATTAGTTAAGTTAGATGATCTTGAGCTGACCATGAATCATAGAATCATACAATCGTCTAGGTTGGAAAAGACCTTTAAGATCATCCAGTCCAACCATTAACCTACACTACCAAGCCCACCTAAACCAATCAAGGGTAGACTAGACTAAACCATATCCCGAAGTGCCACATCTACCTGTTTTTTGAACACTTCCAGGGATGGTGACTCCACCACCTCTCTGGGCAGCCTGTTCCAATGCTTGACCACCCTTTCCGTAAAGAAATTTTTCCTAATTTCCAGCCTAAACCTCCCCTGGCGCAGCTTGAGCCCATTTCCTCTCGTCCTAAATCATAACCACTATATAATAGCATAACCACTACACTGGTAAATGCACAATGTAGAAACCACTACGAAATTAAACTTAATGTCTACATCACTGAAGCCAGTGCAATTTTGTCATTCGTTTCCAGTCAGGATCAAACCTTGAATCACCCATTCAAATTACTCGTACATGAAATGTTCTCAATCCAAAGAATACAGTCAATTTTGTGAAGGGGTTGTATTAAAACCATACTTTTGTTTTGCTAATGACTATTAGCTCCAAATCAGAAATCACAGTGGTCTCTTGACATTTCTCTTGACTTAACAAGAAAGGAATAAGTCCTTTTCATAAATATAGAACCAAAGGTGAATGAGGTTTAAAACCAGCTGAAACTGACCATAGACTTTTCATTTGGTTAGGTTTAAGTTCAAGAACATACACTAACAGCTGATAGGGAAA